TTAGTGAGATAAAATCCTTCTGAGCACTCTACCCAGTGCTCATGAATTAGAAGGTTTTTCCACAGTGGCTGGTGGGAGCATCAACTACTCCCAGTCGTATGTGCCTTCCAAGGACTGTTCTGTCTGCTCCCTTCTGACAGCTCAGTTCTCTTCCCTGCCTCAGATAGTTTCCCTACTGATCAGTTCTCAGCTGCAGGGTGAAGAGGAGGCCTCTGCAATATTTTTTGCAAAATTAGAAAAATTACTTCCATTTTAGCCAAAATATAATCATTCATTGCTCCTAAACTTTGGTTTCCTGTTGGTGGTGTGAGGTTTTCAGTGTAACATTAAAGTAAAGAGTATAGGCCTGGACATAAATGCTGATTCTGACACATAAATGCTGTGTGACCTTAAACAGAATACTAAACCTCTCTGAGGAAAAAAACAGGACCTGCCTCATAGGTTGTCTGGGAGGATTAAGTGGGATAATACACTCAAAGGGCTTGGCATAGCCCTTGGCACTCCTGAGTCCTCACTCAGCGTTATTGTCTGTCTGCAGAGGGAACTCTCATTCTACAGCAGACGGAAAAATACTCCCACTCTGGCATGTCAGCTAAAAATATCATTTCATTTTCCTCACATGACCAACAGGCTCCTCTGGCTCTTCTCTCATCCTCATTCAGCCTGGTTGCCTGGCTGGATGACTGTACAGTGAGGGAAAACAGACTCTGCACTGAACGGCCCAGCCCACTCCCAGCACCCAAGGAGGGGTGCTGCTGACGCACCAGCCCTGTGCTCACGTGGGCTGGACTGGGGTAGTCCACCGTGGGTGTGGGCATGGGTGCACAGCAAACCCAGGCAGCCTGGCACTGTTTGCTTATAGGTCCCGGAGCAGCAGATGTGGAGTGAGTCTTATTTGCATAGCCAGTCTCCATGGCAACCGGAGAGTCAATAGGTAAGACATTCCTTCAGCTGGTAGAAAAATCCTCTGCCCCTCCCTGCCAGGTGAGGGAAGGGCCCGCACTGAGCAGTGAGCTGAAGGCTTTTACTAAAGGCTAAATCTTTAGTAAAAAAGCTAAGAAGAAAATCTGGGGCCAAAATACACAAATATTTTGGACAATAATATGGCTTATTCCCAGATGGCTTTGGTTTTCTTATTCCCGCAATGTGTACACAGGTAACTTGACTAAGGCCTATAGGTCGTTTAGCTGGTGGAAACAAGGCCAGAGATCATGATTCCTGGCTGATGGTGGAGAAGCATGCAGCTTATACAGTAAGAGCACAGGTGACACGGGCACATTATTCTCACATACTTTTCATTCCAAAGCAGACTCAGGTTGGCCTTTCACTGGAAGACAGTAAACAACTATGCAGAGAAATGTATAGGACAGAGAACTTTCTCCCAATTAAAAAGACCTCCCCCAGTGACCCTAACATAGGGCCTAAAATTCCCATTTTGTGCACTCCTTCAGATAAGTCACCAGTGGCCTCAGTCCCCAAATCAATGTCCCTGGGAAGTTACACAGAAAACTATCAGCAGGCATTATTGTCACTCAGATCAGATTCTCAGAAAGCTCCTTTCAACCAGTGGGACCTTGAAGGACTAAGACACAGGATAGGTAAGTTTTGTTGGGGAAAAGAATTGGCAGAGGTGTGGATGTGGCTCAGAGGGCAGACCTGAGCAGGAAGAAAAGGTTGAGAGTAATGAAGACCAGCTTCACATTTTGCCTAGAATTTACTTCTTTCTGTTAGGCCTAAAAATTCTCCTGTTTTAACAACACCATTGGTAATGGCCTGATCATTTGATCTTTATGCTCAACAGATACCACAATGCCAAGTGCAACATATCCTGCCAGATGCATGGAACCCCAAACTTTGAAAGGACCTTCTTTAACAGGACCAATTTTTCTTCTTTCTTCAAAATTAGGAAGAAAATTGTCTAGTATCAGAGAGATGCACAACTCTAACTCCAGAAATGCACACCATATGCCCAAAATAAGTGCCACGGTGAGCCTTCAGGTTAGGATTTGTCCTCTCCCCATGACTGTGGTCAGCCAAGAGTCCTATGTGTTTCAACTGTGTAAATGACTGTATTATGGTCTCCCAGGACTGTTTTCCTAATTGGTGCCTATATACAGTCTCCACACAGAAAGCCTGAGCAATCCTTTTAAAACATATCAGATCATACTCAAAACCCTTTAATGGATTCGCATTCTACTAAGAATGAAATCCAAAGCTTGGGCCTTGGCTCACAAAGCCACTTGTGCTGTGCTCTGCAGTGGATTTGCTGATCTCATCTCCTTCCCACTTCCCAGCCCTTCCTGCTCTTTGTGCTCCAGCCTGACCAGCCTCCTTGGTGTTTCTCCAACACCCCAAGTATACTTATGCCTTAGGGCCTTTGCACTTGCTGTTCTCTCTGCCTAGAATATTCTTTCCCCCCAGGTAGCTACATGGCTCACTCTTTCACTTTATTTAGGTTTCTGCTCATCTCTTACCTTATCATCACCTCATATAACACTGGGTCTTCCCTCCCCACCATCATTCACTCTCTATCCTTTTATTCTGCTTTATTTTTCATCATGGGCTATTTTCTTGATTCTTTTTCTTCAGTTTCCTGCTTAGCTTATAGTATTCTACTGTACCTGACCCAATATATTTTCTTCATGTATCTGTTTCCTGACCCTCAAGCATATTACTTTCAGGAATGCAAGGAAAGCAAATTACTTTGTGTGAAACATAGATGAGGGCTCCAAGGACAGCCTGCCAGGCTTTGTCACCAGTTAAAATAGATGAGGCACAATGTAACAAAGGCCTGAATCAGGCTGGTGGCAGTGGCCATGAGTAAGAAACACATGGCACTAACAACAGAAGGGAAGAGAATGTAAGATCTGGTGGCAGATTAGGTGGGATGTGAAAGGGAGAGAGAGGATCCAGAGAGAGCTGAGGTTTTGAGCCTGGTGGTCTAGAATTGTGCTACCTAATATGGTGGCCACCAGCCACATGTGGCCAGGGAACACTTGAAATGTGGCTAATCTGGATTTACATGCACTGTAAGTGTGAGAGACATACTGGATTTCAAAAACTTAGTATGAGAAAAATGCATATTAAATATCTCAGTGATTTTTAAAATATTGATTGCATATGAAATGGCAATATGTTAGATATACTAAGTTAAATAAAATATATTATTAAATTAGCATCACCTATTTCTTTTTGTTTTTTAATGTGGCTACTAGAAAATTTTAAATTGCATGTGTGGTCTGCAGTATATTTCTATTAGAGAAAGCTGGTCTAGAATATAAACAGATTCTTCTATCTGCAGAGGAAGAGGGCAAAGAAGAGAAGGGACTGTTATTAGTAACTTATAGAAGGCTACATGAGACTCAACCACCCACTTACCCAGAATTTTGAAATATGGGAAATAAAGCTGTCTTCCGGGAGTTGGAGTGGGAGACAGATAATCATATAATTGATTCAAAGCTGAGAAATGCAACATAACCTTAAAAGGCAGGAATGGTCTTCAGTCCAAGAGAGTGAAACCAAACCTCCCAGAATGCATTTACACGGCTTAAGGAACAAATGCATCAATCACAAGGGACACTGGTCAGAAATGGAACATGGGAAAAAGGATCTCAACAGAGGTGAACAAAGGAGTACCTATCAAAGCACTGCTAAGGGGGTAAATGTCTGTCTAGGCTCTCTTTGTACATTAATCAGAAGACCCCTCTGACTAGGGTAACCATCTAATTTACTGTCTAAACCAAACCACTGTTGCAGCAAAAGTAGCATTTTAATCATTGTGCTGAAATAATAAACCAGGGTCATCCCAAGCAAATCAGGGCATATGGCCACCCTACTTCAAAGAATTCATTCTAATTTACTTTTTCATTTCAGCCTTCTGATTATACCAAATGTGCCTGATGATAAGACATTTTTGAATGTATTGACATTACTAAAAACTGGGATGCTTCTTAAAATTGATATGGGCATTTAATATCAGGCTTCCCCAATCCAATCTGTTATTAATTTAATAGTACATCTTACAGTCAATGACATATTACAACTGAGGATACAAAGTAATGTGGCTTCCCCTGTTGTATGACATGAAGGAGAATTCGTTGATCAGAGAGTAGGAATGTCTTCTCACTACACATTTATTTTCACTGGGAAATAACAATCTCATTTTAAGCACTGGTTTCTTGTGAGCTTGGCCAGAATCAGTAACCTATAATTGATTTCTGAGTCTAGGAGGCCAAAGTCCAGATCAAGGACTCAGGTGAATACAGTGAAGTCATTCTGTCCCACAGAGACCTGTTCAGGAAGCCCCCAGCTTCCCCCAGGGGACAACCCTCAGTGCCACCATGAGTACCATGGATAGTACTGAGCCCCACATGTACTGTTTTTTCTTATACATACATACCTGTGATAAAGTTTAATTATAGATTAGGCACAGTAAGTGATTAACAACAACCAATAATAAAATAGAACAATTACAACACATGCCAACATGCTGTAATAAAAGCTTTATGAATGTGGTCTTTCTCTCTCTCTCAAAATGTCTTATTGTACTGTACTCACCCTTCTGATGATGATGTGAGATGGTAAATGCCTGTGTGAGGAGAGGAAGCGAGGTGACTGATGTAGGCACTGTGATGTAGTGTCAGGCTACTATTGACCTTCTGACGATATGATGTCAGAAAGAGGACCACCTGTTTTCAGACTCTGGTTGTCCATGGGCAACTGAGACCACAGGAAACAAAACTGGGGACAAAGGGGGACTACTATACAGAAGTTTGGGAAAAAGCACTGTGACTGATTAACAGCCTCTGACATTGGCTCAGAAGGAGGCAGCATGGAATTAAAGCACAATTAAAAAGTGGAAGTATTAAAAAATGGTATAATACAACATTTTATATAATATAATTAATTAAAATAATCACATTATGATATTTTGTCCTTGAACAAAATAAACAATAGTAAGATAATATGTAAAATTAGAAAAACAGTTGAAATCTACTTACTTATTTTGTCCGATTGTCTCAAAGTCTTTCACAACAATCCCAAGGGAAGATGAAAAGTCTAGCGGTACACCCCTCAAGTCAAACTCCAAAATCTGAATACAGAAAGGTTATGAAAACAAAAAGGCTGTTAAAAGGATCTGTAAATAAAGTAAGTTGCACTGACACCAAGCATTGGGTCACTATCTTCACCAGTGACAATCATTCGAATTACTTAATTCTATTGCTAGAAGGAAGTGATTAAATTCTAAACCTGCAGGCTGCTGAGTTGCAGAAAAGCAAACCAGACTTAGCCTCAAATGCCCTGGAGGTGACTCCTGGCTTCCCACGCTCTAGGCTTTGTGGCTCTAGACAAGCTACCAAACCCATCTGAGTCAGAGAGCTGACTTGACGCCCACCACAATTTTTGCAAAAATAAATTAAAATGCACATGTGAAAATACTTTCATCAATGGTTATTTTTAAATTACTTGTTCTTCCCAATTATATTATTATCAAAGAGATGAATGATCTAAGAAAACATTTTCTAAAATGCACCCCTCACCCCTCTTAAATCCCACAACAGTCAATCTGTAGTCAGATGAAACTCATTTTAATGCAGTTAATTTCTGTCTAATGGCGAATGTAAAAATAGCACCACTGATGCCTTCAACTGATTATGTAAGAAGTGAATTAAATAAGGCAGTGTCTACTGATGATTTGATTCTTCTTGTGATGGTTTTGGAGTGTATGAAGAATGTGCCTCATAGCTCCTGTTAGAACACTAATTCCAATGGGTTTGGGGTTGGCATTTCATTTGGGTTAGGTTTCAGTTATAAAACTGCAATTGGGAAGTTTAATTAATAGTTACATTTGCAATTTAAACCCTACATGTTGGAAACAAAAAGGGGTGAGATGGAGAGTACCCAGCAGAGGACATGCCTGCTCATGTGACCATATACCTCTCTGCCATCATCCACGTGGGCTGACCTCAAATATAAAGGGGCCTGTTAGGATTATTTCAAAACCTGAAGCACAAAATGCATACATGTATATACTTTTTATTTGTTTTGCTTTCAGAACACTGTGTGAGGAGCTCGGATCCGCAGTATACACAGGGACTGACGGGACTGGCCTCCTGCTCTCACCGAGCTGGCAGTCCAGCTGGCTCTGTTCTGGGTTCCAGTGAAGTGGAATTCCCTCCCCACCTGCGTGAGACTGGCAGGGCTTTTAAGAAAAGTGTTAAACAGCTTTCATCTTCACCTCATTTAGCAAGAAGGTATAGTTTCTATTTATAGAGATATTGAAACCAGCTGGGAGGAGAGGGGATTTGCACTTGGAGGAAAGACTTCACAGTCTGGGGACTTAGTGAAAATAACAAAGACTTTATCCAGGAACGTCTGATCTGGCTTTTGGAAAAAACAATTGAGCTGATGATCAACTCTTAAAAAATTAGCATAGGAAAATCTACTCAGTGGAAAGAATGAAAATTTTCATATATCTATAAATATATTAAACATGGAACAATTCATAAAATAAAGTCATCAGTGGGGAAGTTAAATTATGTTATATCCCTTCAATAGAATATTACATAGTTATTAAAAATACTTTTGAATGAAATGATAGGGTATATGCTCAAGATACAATAGTAAGAGAACAATGGGATAGGAAACTGCAATTGCTACATGATGTTAATTTGCTAATTTTAAGAAATAATATTTTATTATATATATTCACTCAATAAACATTTGCTGATTACATCCCAGATGTTAACAGTAGTTACTTCTGGATACTGGGACAAATGTTAATTTTTTTATGTTGACCTTAAATTTTTGAAATTTCTCTGTTAAGTATATATTATTTTTATCAACACAATAAACAGTAAATGTCATTACTCAGATACACAAAGTATCATGTAATACACCCTTGATCAGTCACAGGCAGGTCTGTTTTAAGTATTGACCTTTCCCCTTGGGGCTCCAGAGATGATCTAATCCTACCCCTCCTATGTGCTCCAGACAGGCAACACAGAGGTCACACAGCATGCTCAGGGCTGCTCCAGGCTAACCCAGCCCTCCCTCCGCATTCCCATCTAGACTCCACTCAGCACACCTCTACTGTATAGAAGACAGCATTGTATTATGACTCCTTGAACTGTTCTCTTATCTCCAGGGCCACAAAGGAAGGTTGAGTGGGTGGGGGTGAAATGCAGAGATTCTCCTTCTAAAGGAAAGAATTAATCTCTGACCAACAGGGCACCATCAACATTTTAAAAAGTTGAAAAAACAATGAAGTCACCTCATTCCAGACAGGGTTGAGTTCATTATCGACTTTCTTTGTTTTCTTTTTCTCATCTGCAAATAAAAAGTAAGAGATATCAATCAATTAGAAATATGTATAGAGTATATACCATTTATTTGTTCGTTCATAGACTATTCCCTGAGGGCCAACTATGTACTCACATTTTCCCATTCATCTGCCTAGAGTGGGGACTACCCAAATCAAAGATTTCCAAAATGGACAGTACATCTTAGATAAATAAATGTTAACCAGTTAGAGCTTAAAGTTGCCTTGGAGTGAAGTCCAAAGAGCAGGTGTTTCTATTGGGTCCCTAACTCTCCAAATATTTAGCAAAATAAAAGCTAATATTTGAGTACAAAATGCTTTTAAGCATTAGCTCATCTGTTTTCCAAAAAAAAAAACAGTTTTTCCTCCTGGATGTCTCTTCTACTATCACACAACATTCACAACACTTCTGATGCCAGATGTATGGGGTGGAAGGGCTCCCCAACCATGCAATTTTCTATAACACCAGTGGGGTGTTTTACAACTTAACCCAATTCTACCTGAGACAGCATCAGGTCCCACAGGTTAAGGGCTCAGTTCCACAAGACTGCCCCCTACTTCTTATACCAACAGCAAGTCCAGGTTGTCCCCTTGTGCTGCTGAGCAATCGGCTATATATCTGAGGTCATATGACCTCATCCTCAGATTCGATTAATTTGCTAGAGCAGCTCGCAGAGCTCAGGGAAACATATTTACCAGTTTAGTGGAGGATGGTAAGGGATAGAGATGGACAACCAGATGAAGAGATACATAACGTGAGGTCTGGGAGGGTCCCAAATGCAGGAGTTTCTGTCCGCATGGATTTGGCCTGCCACCCTCCCAGGACATAAATATATTCATCCACCTGGAAGCTCCCCAAACTCTGTACTATTGGGATTTTACAGGGCCTTCCTCATGTAGGCACCATCAATTACTGACTCCATTTCCAGCCCCTCGTCCCTCTCTGGGGAACTGGGAGGCAGGGTTGGAAATTCCAAGGTTGTTTCTGGTGACCAGCTCCCATCCAGGAGCCACCCAGAGTCACCTCCTTAGAACAAAAGATGCTCCTAGTGCCTTTATCACTTAGGAAATCACAAGGGTTTTAGGAGCTCTGTGCCAGAAGGAAGGGGGAGCCTAGAGGTAGATTATCACACACTACCTAATCTTACAAACCCTAGGAGGCATGTATATTATTTTTATCCCCCTTTCACAGCCAAGGAAACTGAGAAGTAACATATTCAAAGTGACCCAGTTAGTAAGTGGCAGGGACAGGTTTTGAACCCAGGCAGTGTTGCCGTGTCACAGCAGTGGCCACACTTTGAACCACTCCTCAGCTTACCGGCTACTGCTATGGAATGTAGGAGGCAGTGGGTTTTGTTCAGCTCGGTGCCACATTGCTAACTCAGGCTCCTGGCACACACCAGCTGTGGACTAACTGCCTCATCCTTCTGAGACCTCAGCATAGCAAAGCCATGAGTCACTGCCCTCCCTCTGCTAAGCATTAACTTTCCCACTTAAGTGGTTCCCACAGTCCAACTGGCTTCAGCATGACCCTCTCAGTGGCTCCTGCCAGGACCCATACTGGTTAGTTCTGATCATGGACCTTCTATGTGGCCTGCGGAGTCCCACACTGGATCTGACTCTGATGTCACCTAGAAGCTGGTCTGCTTTCCCCTCCCACACTTGCATATGGATACCAGTCACTGTGCTGCTCATCCGACAGCAATCTCTCAATCTTCCCCTCTGGTTACAGTGTGAGAAAGTGCTCTTGAGAGAAAGATTTTAAAGACTGCAAAGGATTTTTAAATCAATGGAACTGGACAAAATCACTTCTACCCACAATTGTAGCAGCTCCTTCTAAGTACCTGTCTATAGGTGCTGGGCTATGCGTTCTACTACAGGGTCTATAAATCCTTAACAATCCTTCAAGGTAAGCATTCTCAACCCTATAAAGAAGCTGGTTAACTTGTCTAAGGTCACACAGCCATTAAGAAACAAATCCAGTGATTCTGTAACATCTTCCTATGTTGGCAGATAGTAACTGTTGAACCACTGTGCTGTATATTTGAAATCAATATAAGATTGTATATCAGTGCTACGTCAATAAAAATAAAGAAAGAAAACAAACCCAGAATCTGAACCTATGTCTCCCTGGCTCGGAAACTAAGTGTGTGTTTGCCACCACATCGCAGTGCCTCACTGGAAACTGTCAGAAACGATAGACAAAGACACCCAAATATAATAGGTGTGGTGGGCTTGGTATCCTGGGCAATGGTCATAGAAAAGTCCAAGGTCAGGTTTCAGGGTATCCTGACACTCTCTAATACCATTTACGAATAGAAGACAATGTACATAAAAAGACTATTTACTAATATGAAATATTGTATCTGTGAGTTTTTCTGGGGGAAGAGTTTATTGCTCTCATCAGATTCTCAAATGAGTTCCTGACTGACCTTGAAAAAGGTCAGGAATTCCTGTCTTTGACATGCATGAAATGGTACCATGAATCTTCCACCAGCTCACCAGCACCCTTGCTGCCATAACCAGAACTAAGTGGGCAGAGAAGTGAGTGAGGAAGGAGTGAATCTGGACCATAAGACCACGCATATCTTCAAGAAAGAAGATGGGCAACTGCCCAGCAGTTCTAGCTGTCCCAGCAAGTAAGTAAAGCAAGAAGGCAACAAACAATTTACAGAAATTGGCCGCAGGGACTTGAGGAAGACTGGGGTCATCTACGATGATGATATTGAAGCAAAATTCCATTCTCGAAGTGCCCAAGATTCTAGGCGGGGATAAGGGCTCCAGAGAGACTGAGGAAAGAGCCAGTACTTGCTCACTTGACTTGACTCCCAAGCCTGGTTCCTGGCCTGGGAAACAGAGCACAGGAAGAAACGCTGCAAGGCCATCTGGATACTGAACCTGCTGCTATGACCACCCCCCCACACCCACACACCTGAAGGGCCAGAATTGCTCCAGAGTCATCAATTAAGGAGTGTGAAAAAGGTCACTTTTTCATTCCTTCATTTTCAAGCGTTCATTAAGCACCTACTATGCTAGTAACTGGATAAAGAGAAGAGTGTATGATAGTTCCTGGTCTTAAAATGTTCCACAAATAGAGCTTATGGGCAATTGAATAAAGGAACAAAACAAATCTTTATGCACGTTTTCACCAAGTAACCAAAAGCCCTTGCCTGCTTCATTCTCGTATTGGAGTTCCTTCCTGTAAGAGGAAGAATAATGGGAATAATGGCTGGTCAAGTCGGGCAAAGGGATCTCACGGCTCAGCCTATGAAAATGGTCTGCTAAGTGAGTTCTGCCCCAAACTTTAATCAACTTCCTCCTTCTTCCATCTAACTAGACTAGACTGTGGGAGATACAAAGATACCCAGCATGGTTCCTGCCCTCAGATGGTCCTGTGGGGAGGTAGATGTGGCCACAGGGGACTGATACCGAAAGAAGGCTTCAGTTATCATCAGAAGGGTTACAGGTGAAGATGAAAATTCAGAGGATGAGGTGGTGACTTCAGGGTATGGGCACCAGGTAAGGCTTCATGGAAGAAGAAGAGCCTGAGCTGAGAATCAAAGGACAAAGATGGAGAGAAAATGCGGAGGTGGGAAGGAAAAGTCACCCTAGGTGAGGGCAATAGGGTGGGTGGGTCAGCCATGCAGGAGGAGAGAACAGGTCAGTCTGGGAACACTGCCCAGCCCAATTAGCTGGAACCAAAGGATGTGGAAGGGAGCTGAGGCGACTAGGCTGTGTGGGAAGGTTATGGTCACACCGTGAAACTGTGACCGCCAGGCTAGGTTTCACTGGGCTGACACAAGCTGGTGGGCAGAACGGTGTGAGACACTGGACTTTATAACTTCAAGCAGCTCATAATCCATGAGAAAAACCAAGCTGCCCCACCATTCTTCCAGTACATGTGCCTGAACACAGGACTCAGTTGTGTTTTGAGAACAAAGGGAACTGGTTGAGTGCCAGCAGATGCAGGCTTGCCGGAGACTAGGTGGGACTATTCAAGTGGAACTTCCTGCAATTCCTGGCACTTGAGCATGAGGTTCATGCCAATGGTGCTGCCCTCCAGGGTGTGCTCACTCCCAGCCAGGCATGTATAAGTCCTTCACATACAACATTTCATTTAATTCTCCTGGCAGGGCTGGGAAAAACACTGTTATTATCCCCAATTTGCCGATGAACAAAGTGTGCCCCAAATAGCTAGGTGACTTGCCCAAGATCACAGAGCTGGGAAGAAACACTCTAACTCAGATCTAATCTGACTCTAGAGCCCACACATTTAACCACTGAACCTCCTATCTCCCTAGCTAATAAGCAAAGATTAAGCTGCTGGTATGAGCTCCTACCCTTTTGGAGAACCCCAGCTCAATCCCTTCCAAGAGGGAGGCTCTGAATTTTATCAAAATGTACACACATTACATTTTATTGAAAGCCCATTCTCACACACAAACATGTCAGAAAAAAAAATTCCTTTATCAGCAGCCACAGAGTCACATATTTATATTATTCAATTATTCAATTCCACCTCTTCTTAAGTTCTAAACATCAGCTTAAATTATGGGAAACTTTCCCCTTTTCCACATCCCCTACCGCCCCCTGTTATCACTTCTAATTTTATTGAAATGAGTGCTTCTTCTCTATGGAAAGGAATTGAATACTTTTAACCCAGAACATAACAACTGAATCAAGCAGAATACAGACTTGGATCACAACTCAAAACAGTCTTTGGGACATTTCCTGTTTTTTTATTAGATAGGCCTGTTTCTCTCTCAGTTAAGTGAAGGTCACCATTGTAGTAATTAACCCACATGCCAACCTATGAATAAAGTTTCCTCAGAACTGAACAAGCACTCTTTGCCAAGCTACCTCGCCCTCCTGCACAGAACCGTTTCCTTTGCTGTTCACCTACCTGCCTATGTGTTGGACTCTTACTGAAAAGGCTTGAGAGACACCCCATTTCCTAACACTGGGTCGCTACATCTTTGCTGAGAGAACCAGTGTGATGGTTAATTTT